CACAGTACTTTGGGTCTAGGCAGTAGGGAGGTCAGATGGGGTGATGTAAGAGTATGACTAAAGTGAAGACTGACTTCAAGTGTGCCCTCCCCCAACAGGAATGCCGCCCACTGCCTAAGGGAAAATGGCATCTCTGTTTTAAGTAGCACAGATTATAAAGGGAAGATATGGTTTACCATTGGTGGAGGCTGTGTCTTTCCCAGATACCTGTGGAGTTCTCACTGTTTAATTTCAAGGACAGTTCATTGCCATCAGCCCCATCTTTGGCATGTGTCAGAGAGGTTAGGTATCTTGCCCAGAGTCCCACAGCTGGAGAGGCTGAGTCTGATGACTTTAATCCCTGAGCTACAGGCTCTCCTCTAGAGCACCCCAAGGATTTGTGAGCAGATCTGGGTCCCACAGACCTAAGCCTGGGAGACTATCTCCATTTTAGTAGATGAAAAAACCCCTAAAACTCAGCAGTCAAGTCAATTCTAACTCCTGGGAAATCTATGTGTTACAGACAAGAACTGAGTTACACAAGGCTTTTTAGGCAGTAAACTTTACAGAGACTCCTGGTGTGGCGCTATAGGATAAGCACTGGACTGCTAACCAAAAGGTCGGTGATTCAAATCCACCAGACCTATACATAGTCACTATGAGTCAGAACTGAATCACTGGCACTTAACAACAGCAGCCTTTACGGGCACAGACTTTTCTTCTGTGGCTCCAATAAGTGGGTTTGAACTGCCAACCTTTATGTTAGCAGGCAAGCAGCCACCCTGAGACCTTCAGCATAAACTTCCTTTTAATTTTTTAAAAATGTTCTTGACTGAGGATTCTGATTCCCACCTTTCTCCAGGAGCCTAGGAGTTATGACACCTCACACACACTTTTCACAGTGATGAGAACTTGCCAAATGCCACATGCTTTCCAGACTGGAGCTGCTCAGGAACATGGAGCATGGGGGGCGCTGCTGCAGGAGGGTATGGGATGGGGCCTTCCCAAGGGGGGTCTCTACCTGCCCTGACGTTGTGGATGTTTCTTTCAATGTGCAGGGCTAGGGGCTGGTGCACATGCAGACGCAGCTCCAGTTTAGACTCCAAATCCTTGATCTTGGTGGCCATGGTGACCCGGATGTTGATGGCACACTGGTCAAACCATTTCTCAAGGTGCTCAAAAAAGCCAGTACGAAGTCTGAGGGAGAGACCAGCAGGAGATCTCTCTACATCAGCATATAACAGGCATCTCTTTTCTCTCCTTTGTTCCCCCAGTTTCATTGTGTGGATGGGTACTAACTCACATGCAGAAACCTCTACTGGAGGGAAGTGGGCTGTTTCCTATCTTTTGCTCTTAACAAAGAAGGCAGCAATGAATAACGTTGCATGGCCCCTGTAGAGGTGTTCCTAGAGGCTAAATTCCCTGAGTTGGGATTACCACATCAAAGGATGAATACATTTGTAATTTTGAGAGATATAGTCCAACTGCCTCCTTTGGAAAGAAGGGTGGAGGGAAGTCCTTTGAACTGGGGAGATCACTCTCACTTTGGACCCTGGTAACTACAAACAATTCCTGGACATTTGCTCTTCCGCACTGTGTGTCTACCCCTCCCTGTAGTCACTTGCATTTTTGCTTTTCCCAGATGAAACTAGCCCAGTGTTTCGTTATGATAATTCATTTAGTTAATAAAACTCAGGACAAAAGCACAAAAATATAAGGTTCTTTTACTCACTGTTTCTTAATTTCTGAAAGCAAACAGGATGGAATGATGACGTGCTGTAGGAATGTGGCATCGCAAGCCTCCTCCGTGAGCATAGTTGAGAGGTGGGAATGGGGCCTCCTGTAATTCTCTTCTTCTTCCAGGGGGAAGAAGACAAAGTATGTGTTCCCACTAGAAGTTGTGAAGGACTCCATGTCCTCATTGGAGTTTTCCCCCAGACTCTCTTCCTTGGATTCGGCCTAAGAGGGTAATAAACCTTTAGATTTGGCATCATCACATGTATTTTACCACACTTTCCTTTCTGGGCTAAATCTTGCCTACAACCCCCACCTCCCCCCCTGTTGTTGTTGCTGCGGTTGTTTGTTGTCACTGAGTCATGGTGACCCCACTTGCAGTGGAACTAAACTTGTACCATTCCCATGATCAGTCCATTGCGATCCATAAGGTTTTTTATTGGTTGATTTTTGGAAGTAGATCGATCACCAGGTCTTCTTCCTGGTCTAGCTTGGTCTGGAAGCTTTGCTGAACCTGCTCAGCAACACAGTAGGCCAGAACCCTCCACTGACAGATGGTTGTGACTACACTGGGCAGAAATCCAATGGAGGTCTCTGACATGAAAGACAAGAATTGTAGCACCAACCTCACCCCTCCCCAGGGAGTGCTTTTTAAAATTGGGAGCTTCCACATCAAAAACATCTAGATTCTGATTTCTCTCAGGAAATCAGGAGAGCTGGCAAATATGAGTCCGCATTCCCACAAGGCACCGCTGGTGTCCATCAGTCCTCATTAACCTTAGGTTTGTCTCCAGCTCCTGCGGGCATTTGAGTTTTAGATTCCCCACTGAAAAATAATTCTCACATGTGTGGCACTGTGGGCTAATGTGTCAGACTGCAAAGTCGTTTGAACTGCAAGGTCGGTGATTCAAGCTCACCAGGTGCTCCTCAGAAACCCAGTACAGGGTCGCTATGGGTTGGAATTGACTCTGACAGCACTTAACAACAACAATACCCCCAAAGGAATAGAAGGAAAAGTGTCATTTCCAATTCTATGGTTACCATGTTATCATACTGTGAGTATGAAGGTTTTGAGGAAAAGATTTTTTAACAGGTGAGTTCTGTCTGCCAGTATGGTGATGGCTGTCTTCTGAGGTGCCTATGGGTGGATTTGAACTGCCAACCTTTCAGCAAGTAGCCATCAGTTTACCCATTTGTGCTATCCCGGGACTCCTTGTACAATAAAGAGGAGATGATCATGAGAGTGGGCTGGAGACAAGGGGGAACTGTGGAGTAGGATGCAGGATGGGACATGAGGAGAGAAAGGGGGCTTTCTAGAAAGCACTGCTATCAGTTAAGAATTAGATTCCCGTTGACATAGATCAAAGTATGAATACCTTTGCAATTCTTCATAAGTCCCCCTCCACAGAGGCTTGTATGAGGGATACACAGAACCTAACACAGTTTCTCAGACCCATGAGAACCCTGTGCTAGCCTACCTCCTCCACAGATGCGTTCTCATCTTCTCCCGTTTCTTCTCCTTCCTCTTCTTCATTTTTCTCTTCCTCTTCTTCATTTTTTTCTTCCTCCTCCTCCTTTTTCTCTTCCTCCTCCTCAGTTTTCTCTTCCTTATCCTCATTCTCCTCTTGAGATGTTATGCTTTCCTCAGCCAACAATGGTTTTGAGGAGCTCTCTCTTTGAATCGGCATTTCCACTAACCCTTGAACAGATCCTTCTCCGGATGCATCTTTCTGTTTGTATAAAATAGATTTTTCTGGCTGACGCAGCATCTCTTCACTTACGAAGGAATGGATTTCTTGATACTCTTCTTCTTCTTCCATCTCTTTCATTTCTTCTGCTGATCTGGGGGTACTTGGCCCTTGACTTAGACTCTCCTCACTTTTGTTCATTTCAGCTGTAGCTCTCTGGTTTCTCCTCAGCTTCTGCATTCTCTCCAGGAAGTGCTTTTCATGAATTTCTGTGGATAACCAAAACTACAGCTCACTTTACATAGGAGCTAGCTTCCCCAACCCAGAAACACAAAGAGCAAGGTCAGTGTGAGTCAAACCTCCATTGTGAACATGTTACCTGGTTCCCTGAGTCTGAGAAAGACTTCTCCGTCCAAGTTCTACAAGGAAAAGAACACAGGACACAGAGTAACCAGCGCCATCTTCCTCAGAGGGCCACACCCAAAAGGCATCTCTTTTCCCTTAAGTACAAAGGCCTGCCCCGGGGTGTGTCAGTGTGGGAGTCAGGGAAGGATTTCTCTTAACCCTAAACAGACTAGCAATCCCCTCAGCACCTAGGGCATTAAGGGATGACACCCAGAGCAAAAGATAAAATGATAAACTGAGGGGTATCTGGAACTGGAAATGAACAAATGAACAGGCATGAATCACATACTAGAATCACATGCTAGCTCTACTCACTCGTGTGAGGTGGATCATACATAGTATGGCCTGTGGAGTTTACTGGTCTAGGCTGGAACCTAGCTGACTGACCCTGGACAAGTCCCTTAGACCCTGTGTGGATGTCCTCCCCTGTGAACTGGGATGGAATGCACCTATACATACATTCATTCTAGACTGAGCTCCTGGTTCATCCTCGAGTCTCCACCGTAAGATTTTGTAATAAAAATGTGTTCAATACACTTACCGACTCCATGGCACATAACAACAACAAAAACAACAACAATATACTAATATTGAACCTATAACCAACAAAAACACAAAAAGCCAGTTGCTATTGATTCAATTCTAACTCATGGCACATCCATGTGCTGTAATGTAAAACTGTACTCCATGTTCCACAGGGAGTCTTGGTGTGGCATAGCAGGATAATGTACTGGATTGAAAGTCAGTTTGAACCTCAAGGTCGATAGTTTAAACCCACCAACTGCTTGCTCCTTGGAAACCCAGACAGGCTAGCTATGGGTTGCAACCTACTCAATGGCACTTAACAACAAAAACAACACGCTTCATAGGGTTTTCAGGGCTGTGATCTTTTGCCAGGTCTTCCTTCAAGCAGCCAACCTTTCCATTAGTATCAGAGGGAGCATTTATGAGCAATGGGAACAGGGAGAGGAGAGGGATTTTTTGAGGAGGAGCTGGGTATTGCATGCATATGGAAGTCTGTAAAAAGGTCTGCTGACAACCACAGGCATGTCAGCTGTCTGACCATGTAGGACTCTGGCTGGCAGGTGGGAAGAAGCCATGTACTCCTTTGCATCTCTGGGAGCCGCTGTGCTTACTGGACCCCTCCCCTCTCCGTACCTGCTCAAAGATTTCCTGAACGAAAAAGTGTTGGCTGAGGGTGTAGCTGTAGGAATTGAGTTCTTTTAGTATTGTCAACGGGTATTCCGTCACTTCCTTTGTCAGGACGACATGGAAACTTTCGTACCTGTAAGGCAGGTAGGGAGACCACTGTTTAAGGAGGGGTGCTTTGCTGTTTGAGGGAGACCAAGGGCCAGGAGCAATGCCAGCGATCCCAAAGAGGCAGGGCTGAATTGAAATCTTCAGAGCTGCAGCGAGATGGACTGCAGGCATCTTCTCAACAACTCCTGATTTTGTTGTGCCCTTCTGAGGATACAAGGAATACACGTTCTTTGTAGAATATTTGGAAGACACCCAGGAGCGAAGTTCTCTGGTAGTTGTAATTGTTGTTGCTCTTCACTGATGCCAAGCTGACCCTGGACAGCCCCACGGAATGAAACGGTGCCGGGTCTTTTGTCACCCCAGGATCAGACGCAGATCCACAGAGTTCTCACTGGCTGATTTTTAGGTCACCATGCCTTTCTTTCTAGTCTATCACCGTCTGGGCGCCCTGCTGAAACTTGTTTAGCATCACAGCAAAAAACAAGCCTCCACTGACAGACAGGAAGTCGCTGAGCACGTGTGGGACTCAAACCTGGCTCTCTTGAAGGGAAGCTGAGAACTCTACCACTGAGTCATTACTGCTTCCTCTTGCCACTGTCCCAGCCCTGTCCTGGAGCTTTAGCTGCATCATCATACCAAACCCTCAAAATGCCTGAGGCTCAGGCTTTTTTCTTTTTCAGGTAAGGTAAGGAAACCAAGGCTCAGGGGTTCCTTTTCTACATGAAGTTAGGAAGCTAAACACTGCAGTCAGCTGGGCAGTGCAATTCTATTTCTGAGAATGGAGCATACTGAATGAATTGTACAAGAGCACAAAGATACAAGGACACTCACAAAAATACTGTGTGTAATATTGAGAAACTGGAACCCATCTAAAAAACCGAATCAACTGGAGGATATTGAAATCGTGATACAGCACTCACATCCAAGAATGTTAACGAATTCTACCTGGTCATTTAAAAAAGGAAATAGATCTACACTTACAAAACAAGTTCCATAGTATTATCCAAGTCTTATTTAAATAATGCTGTTGTATTATCAAATGCCATCTAGTTGGTTCCACCTCATAACCACTCTGTATTGGGTTTCCGAGGCTGTAAATCTTTATGGGAACAGAAAGTTTCATTTTTCTCTTAAGCAGCAGCTGGTGGGCTCAAATTGCCTGCCTTGTGGTTCGCAGTTCAGTGCTTATCCTACAGAGGCATGGCACTCCCTAAAGAACATTATATATGTGTATGTATTCATGTATATGGAGTCCTGGTGTGGCGCTGTGGGTTAGTGTGCTGGACCGTAAGGTTGGTTTGAACTGTGAGGTAGGCAGTTCAAGCTCACCAGCTGCTCCTTGGAAGCCCTATACAGGGTCACTGTGAGTCAGAACCGACTCAATGGTACTTAACAACAACATTCATTTGGCCTGAAATGAGGGAAACATGTCTCCACATTTGCACTAGTTGATTTGTTTTCCCTGTAACAAAGAGCATGTATGGAATACATTTTTAAAGTAGGGGAAGGGCTCATGTCCTTGATCTTCAAAGCACACTGCCTTGAAGCCTTTCAGTCAGTGTTTCAAATCAACTTGAATGACACTTTCCCCCTGAAGTTCACTCATTGGCTGATAGCAGAGCACCAAAGAGCCACAACAGTCTCCAAAGTTAGACGCAAGATTTTTAAGCTCTGGTTTACTGGGCACTCCTGGGTTCCTGAAAAGGCACCTTGTGACATTGAACTTGAATTTCAGATGATTCTTTACTGTCTTTTGAGATATGGTCTACCTACCTTAATTTTATGCTCTTCAGAAAATCTTTGGCCCTTTCCAGATATAACTTCAGTGTTTGCTCATGGCTTTGTTGCCTCAGTTGGTCCAAAAGCTTTTCCAGGTTGGCTTCCTGGTCCTGGCAGCAGCCAAAACAAAAGCAAAAAGAAGCAAATGTGAACTGCGGAGCAGGCCGACCACTAGGGTTTTAGTGCTTGCTGAGTCCCTATTGCTCCAGCTGAGGTTGTTCTCCTTGGGCATCTACAAAAAGGGGCATTAGACCCACCACTGTTCCTGTTCTCGCCACTCTGCTCCCCTGGCCTTCTCTCCCTCCTTCCACTAGCCCACACTCGTCTGTCTGTAAGGTTCTTCTTTTCCAGTCAGTCAGGCATCCTCGAGGACATGTCCCTGGTCCTGCCAAACCTTCTCGTAACACCTGATCATTACTCATCTTTCTCACACTCAGAAATGAGTGGGGGCTGGGTGGGGGCAGGCTGGGGGTTCTGGGAGGGATGGAGATTGGTCTGTTTCTCACACACTTAGGGCTCCAGGCACCCAATGCACAGGCTCAGCCCCATGGCCATGCAAAGCTTCAACTGCCCCATCTGTATAAGTTTTATAGTTTGAAGTTTTACATTTGGGCATAGAATCTGTTTTGAGTTTATTTTTGTTCATGATGTGAAATATGGATCAATTTTTTTTTTCACCTTGATCCCCTCAATTTTCCCATCTTTGTAAGGGAGAACGCTAGGCTACATCAGTAAATGGTCATCTTTCCCCATGCCCTTCCATGATGCCAAGAATGAGTTTTCGTAAGCAGTCTGAATGTAAGAGAAGAAAGCGATTCTGTGGACTCTCAAGGTTGTGATACAGCATGTGGCTTCCTCTGACTTTAACCTGGCTTTCTGGTGGTCCCCACTAACCCAGGCACTTGTCCACCTGCTCCCACCTTGTTGCTGCCCCAGAATCTGATGGCCCTTTAGCTGCTGTGAGCAAGGTTGCCATCTGAGGGGCCCACGGAACCATGGGCTCTTGGCCTGGCCCTGGCTCCCTCGGGGAAATGGGCAGTTTTAATCCATAGAATCAGGAGCTTAACGCTAGTTTGGCCATTTAGGATTTTGCTATCTTCTGGGAAGCATGCTGCTGTGGCTCCTATACCTGTAGGACGAGAAGATTGCCTTAACCACTGGGGCTTAGCTCTGGGCCCTGGGATAACCCTCCCAGGAAGGCTCAGTCTAGACCCTGATGCCACTTTCTCTTACAGGAGAGACCATCTTGGACATGTGTAGTTGGGCCTCACTGTCCACATACATGGAGCCTTGGCCTTGGGTCAGCCAGGCCCTCATCTCCTTTAACCCAAAGCAAGCCCTGTCCACCCCCAATGTCCTCCAATAATGTTCCTCCTTTCCTGGAGCCAGGTCCATCTGTCTTGCTGGCCAGGAGTTAGTAGCAGACACGGTGTGTCGGGGTAGCCTCTTTGGATGACCCTTGTATGCTCAGGCCTCAGCATGGTGCCTGGCACCTAACATGCACTGACCAATGGACAGAATGCCTGCGTGCTGACTGAGGTGCTGGGCTGACAGCCTGGGTGTGGTTGGCCCGAGTGTGGAGGGCAGTGGCTGCACCTGGTTCTCCTGGTCCTGCCTCTGTCGATGCTGCTCCATCCTCCTCTCGAGCTCCAGCTCCTGAACCGACAGTGCGCTCTGGTGGGCCTCCCACAGCTGCACTGCCTCCTGAAAGTAGCGGAATATATCCAGGCTCTGCCACTCCGTCTGCTTTGCCAGGGCCTCAAAGGACTTCTGCCATGAAAGAATCCAGGAAAAGAGGGTTAAGAGCCCAAGGCTCCTCCCCACAGGGGTCCCCCAGGTCTCTGAGGCACTGTCCCTCATATTCCATTTCTGAGCCAAGTCTGTGCTATGGCCCTACCTCCCAATGCCAGGCCCTTGGCCCGCTGACCCTGAAGCCACATCTGTAGAACTGTCTATGTCCCGCTGACAGATACAGAAGTCAGGAGACATTAACATCAGCCTGAACAGCTTTGCTTCTTTGGAGTTCCTGATTCACCAAGCCTAGGATAGATCCTCCCCTGCAGTAGAACAGCCCTGGACTTCACCTTGGTTGCTGTTGCTTTTAAATATAATGTCTCATATTTTCATCTAAAGCAAGGCCTTCTTCAGAATTTTGTATCCTTTTTTCTGTTTGTTCTTCTACTTTCGTGGTATTGAGAGATTTATCTACCAGCTCACTAGTTCTGGCTTCTGTGTCTTCAGTTCTACTCCTTTGCCCTTTCAGTGTATTGTCTATTTCAGATATTCTATTATTAATCATTTGGATCTCTTTCTGTAGGTTCTGAATTGTTTCCAATGCTGTATCTATCTTACTTGATTGTTCCTGTAGCGCTTTTCTGACTTCTTCCTTATTTTTCCATTGTAAAGTGTTTTGATACATTTTATAACCATTTTTCTGAATTCCTTTTCAGGCATTTCAAAAGCCTGCCTTCCTTCCAGTATGGAGTGTAGGTCTACCTCCAGCTCATTTGTCTCAGTCACTTTATCTTGTTTCTGGACATGTGCTAATATGATCATCTGTTTCTGTTTTTTGGGCGTATTCATTCAGTGGTTAGCTGTAGCCTTAAAACTTAGATGGGTGTGTATTTTGGTATTTTTCATGTTTTCTGATTGCCTCCAGGTAGATGTGATCAGGAGGGGTTCCCTTTTAACTCTTCTTCCTGAAAAATTTCAAGATGCCACTGTTGGTCATTATGACGTAACTCAGGATTTAATTTTCAGCCTGTTTCCTTTCTAGTCTGCCTATCCCACTCCACAATCCCTGTTCAGGCCTTTTTCCTAGTCATAAACAGTTCAGAGCCAACTGTGGTGAGTTTGCACTGCCATTTGGTTTAAAGTGGAAACGGTCCCTTTAAATTTTGAGGAGATCTGTGCGCATGAGTAGTAGAACTCTCCGGGGGTGGGAGTGGGGTGTCCACTTGCTCAGGCACTTCATCTAGTCACCAGAATGATGGTGCACAGACAGCGAGAGGCCAATAAACAGAAACAAAAAAAATGATGTCCACACTTTTATCTCTGCAGTTCTGTCAGGCGTCCCTAGTTGCTCTGATCCTTCCCTGGTTTGGTCTCATCCAAGATGGTGGCTCCAGGAGCAGCTGAGTGCTTTGGATTAGAAAGCACTGGATTTCTTTCTTCTGCTACAAATTCCACTGTCTATAAGCCTTCCAACTTTGTAAATATTCCTTTATATTTGGTTCAGAGTTCTGGGACCATCCCCTGACCCTGCTAGGCCTGGTATTCTGTGTTGTTGCTGAAGGAGCTCCTCACCGCACTTCCACTCTATCTGCCATCTTGTTTGTTTTTCCCCTCCACCTGTTTTTGAAAGGCTCTGGAAACTAAGCACAGGTTTTACATTTTTTAATGGTTGAGAAACAATCAAAGTGGTATTGTGGCATGTGAAAATGGCCTGAAGTCCCAGGTTGTGTGTCCCTCAAGTCTATGGGAAAACGGCCACAACCGCTTACATTTCCACTGTCTGGGGTTACTTCTGTGCAACAGTGACAGAGATGAGAAGTTAGCGCCAAAACGAGTTAGTCCCTGACCCTTCACAGAAAGCTTCTGTTGGCCCCCACTCTAGATCAGGAACTTATCAGGGGTGGGGACGAATTGGCCCTTTATAGTCCCTCAGTGTCCAGAGTCAGCAAGCTCTGGGAAGCTCTTGTGGCCTGGAGCGCTCGGTGTGGAAGGCCTGAACTGGCAATGGCAATGATGAGTGGACACACAAATGACACATTGTGTTGAAGGCCCCAGACCGGCCTGCTCCTCACACCCCAGTGATGCTAAGGCACCCACACCCGCCACCCTGTTCCCAGCTGGTGGGTCCCCAGCTACGCACGTCCATGGTCTCCAGCTCCTCCTCCACCTTGCTCTGTAGCACACCCACCATCTGGAAGAAGGACGGGCTCACCAGGTTCCCTGCCTCCTCCTCAGTGAAGGCTTTCCAATCCAGCAGCTGATTCTGAAGAAGACCAAGGCAGAGCCTGCCTGAGGGAGCCGGTGGGCACGGTCCTCAACTCAGAGCCTGCTCCTGTCCCCACAACCCACTGGGGAAGCCCTAGCCACAGTAGACATGGCCTCTTGTCATCATTGCACTGTGTCCATGTGCGGTGAGCAATCCATACCAGAGCCTGGGACAAGGATCCAGGCTTCACCTGGAGCCTCTGGTGAGTGGGTGGGGGGCAGGACAAAGGGAAATGCCACAGAGGTGTGAGGGGTGGAGCTGACAGCAGCTTCTCTGGGGGCAATGAATTGGGCCCCCATATCTCAAGGCCTCCCACTACCACACCAGAGAGTTTGACTTGATTGTACTTTTGCTGGGTTTTCCATCAAAACAGTTTTACAAAGCAAGGCAGGGATGGAAGTGGGGAGCAGGAAGGGACATTTTGGCAAATAGGCTCTGTGGGCTAATATGTCAGACTGCAAAGTCATTAGAACTGCAAGGTCTGTGGTTCAAGCTCATCAGTGGCTCCTTGGAAACCCTATAGAGGGTCATTGTGGGTCAGAATTGACTCGACAGCACTCAACAACAACACAAACCCCAGAAAACCTCACCATTTGTCTGTCAGTTTGTCATTCTGTGTTGGCTTGCTTGTTGGGAGCTATGCCACGGGTATTTTAAACATCAGTAGGATCACCCATGGTGGATAAGTTTTAGACCAAGACAAACTAGGAGGAAGGAGAGACAGACTTTTGAATATATGTTGTTGTTGTTGTTATGTGCCGTGGAGTCGGTTCTGACACATAGTGACTCTGTATAGGGCTTCCGAGGCTGTAAATCTTTATGGGAGCAGAAAGCCTCATCTTTCTCCCGCAGAACAGCTGGTAGTTTCAAACTGCTGACCTTGAGGTTCGCAGACTGATCTGTAAACACTACACTAACTTTATGAATAGCAGTGGAACACTGTCAGCACCAGAATTTTGAATATTGAAACATGATGAAGAGCAACAGAATATTGTCAGATATCATGCCAAAAGATGAGCCTCTCAGGCTCATCTGGGGAAGAGTGACCGGGGAAGACCTGTCTCCACAAAGTAGAGTTGACCGTGATGACATGAATGGAGTAAAGCCCTCAGGACCTTCATTTGCTGATGGGGCACAACTCAAAATGAGGAGAAACAGTTGTAAATATAGCCACTAATAAATGAAACATGGAATGTACAAATTATGAATCTGGGAAAATTGGAGATTGTAAAAAATGAAATGGAACGCATAAACATTGATATTGTAGGCCTTAATGAGCTGAAATGGACTGGTATTGGCCATTTTGAATCAAACAATCACATGGTTTAATATACCAGGAAAGGCAAATTGAAGAAGAATAGCGCCACACTCATAATGAAAAAGAACATATCACAATCTGTCTTGAAGTACAACACTGTCTGTGATAGGATAATATCCATATGCCTACAAGAAAGACCAGTTTTACCACTGTTATTAAAATTAACAAACAAACACTAAAACCAGTGATGATGAAATTAAAGAATTCAAAAAAGGAGCTTTGGTAGTGTAGTGGTTACGAATCGGGCTGTGAACTTTAAGGTCAGTGGTTCGAAACTACCAGCTGCTCCGTGGGAGAAAGATGAGGCTTTCTACTCCCATAAAGATTTACACCCTCGGAAACCCTGTACAGGGTCCTATGGGTCGGAACCAACTCGATGGCACTTAACAACAACAACAACAACAACTTCTCTAATCTGAAATTGATCAAACATGCAATCAAGATGTATTGATAATTACTGGCTATTGGATTGCAAAGATTGGAAACAAAGACGAAGGATCAGTAGTTGGAAAATATGGCTTTGGTGACAGAAATGATGCAGGAGATCTTGCAAGACCAATCTTGCAAGACCAATGACTTCTTCATAGCAAATACATTTTTTAAACAGCATAAAAGATGACTATACACTTGGACCTCACCAGATGGAATATACAGAAATCAAATTGACTACATCTGTGAAAAGAGATGGTGGAAAAGCTCCATAGTATCATTCAAAACAAGGCCAGGTGAGACTGTGAAACCGACCATCAATTGCTCATATGCAAGTTCAGGCTGAAGCTGAAGAAAATTAAAACAAGTCCACATAACCTTGAACATATCCAACCTGAATTTAGAGATCATCTAAAGAACAGATTTGATGTATTAGACATGAAAGACTGAAATCCAAAAGAGTTGTGGGATGACATCAAGAACATCATACAGGAAGAAAACAAAAGGTCAATAAGAAGACAAGAAAGAAGGAAAAGACCAAAATGAATCTCAGAAGACACTCTGAAACTTACCCTCCTGCATAGAGATGCTAAAGCAAATGGAAGAATTGAAGACGTAAAAGAGCTGAACAGAAAGTTTCAAAGGTAAGCTCAAAAAGAGAAAGTCAAATATAATGAAATGTGCAAAGACCTGGAATTAGAAACCCAAAAGGGAAAAACATGCTCAGTATTTCTCAAGCAGAGAGAATTGAAGAAAAATTCAAGCATCGACTTGCAATATTGAATGATTCTATGGGCAAAATATTGAATTTTGCAGACAGCATCAAAAGAAAATGGAAGTTACTGTACCAAAAGGAAATGGTCAATGTTCAATAATTTCAAGAGGTAGCATATGATCAAGAGCTGATGATAATGGGAAGAAGTCCAAGTTGCATTGAAGACAATGGCAAAGAACAAGGCACCAGGAATTGATGGAATACAAATTGAAATCTTTCAACAAACTGATGTAGCACGGGAAGCACTCACTCATCTATGCTAAGAGATTTGGAAGACAAATACCTGGTCAACTGACTGGAAGAGACTCATATTTGCTCCCATTCCAAAGAGAGGTGACCCAACAAAATGTAGAAATCATCGGACATTATCACTAATATCGCATGTAAGTAAAATCTTGCTAAAGATAATAGAATAACAGCTGCAACCATTCATTGACAGACACCTTCCAGAGGTTCAAGCTCAATTCAGAAGACTTGGACTGAGAGATGTCATTGCTGACATCAGATGGATCTTGGCTGAAAACAAAGAATACCAGAAAGATGCTTACCTGTATTTTATTGACTATGCAAAGTCTTTCTACTGTGTGGCTCATGACCAGCTATGGACAACATTGCGGCCAATGAGTATTCAGGCGCTCTTAATTGTGCTCAAGAGGAACCTGTACATAGACTAAGAGGCAGATAATTTAACAGAAGGGAACACTGATTGTTTTAAACTTAGGAAATGTATGTGCCAGGGTTGTATACTTTCACCATATTCATTCAATCTGTATGCTAAGCAAATAATCTAAGAAACTGTATTATATGAAGAAAAACGTGGCATCATGATTGGAGGAAGACTCATTAACAACCTGTGCTATGCAGATAATACAACCTTGCTTGCTATTGAAAGTAAAGAGGACTTTAAATGCTTACTGATGAAGATCAAAAACCACAGCCTTCAGTATGGGTGGGTTGCACCTCAATGTAAAAACAAAAATCCTCACCACTGGACCAATAAACAACATTCAGATAAATGGAGAACAGATAGAAGTTGTCAAAGACTTCATTTTGCTCGAACAAACCATCAACACTCATGAAAGCAGCAGTCAAGAAATCAAACAGTGTATTGCATTAGGCAAATCTGCTGCACTGGAGTTCTTTAAAGTGTTGGAGAGTAGAGATGTCAGCTTGAGGACTAAGGTGCGCCTGACCCAAGCCGTGGTATTTTCAGTGACCTTATATGCATGTGAAAGTTGGACAGTGAATAAGGAAGACCATAGGAGAACTGATGCATTTGAGTTATGGTGTTGGAGGAGAACATTGCAAGTACCATGGAATGCCAAAAGAACAAACCAACCTGTGTTGGAAGAAGTACAGCTAGAATGCTCCTTAGAACCAGGATGGGCAGATTTCTTCTCTCATACTTTGGACATATGGTCCAGTCACTGGAGAAAGGTATCATGTTTGGTAAAGTGGAGGGTCGGAGAAAAAGAGGAAGACCCCAATGAGATAGGTTGGCACAGTGGCGGCAGCAATGAGCTTGGGCTTAGCAACAATGGTGAGGTTGGCACAGGACTGTCAGTGTTTCGTTGTGTTGTGTATAGGGTTGCTATGAGTCAGTACTGAGCTCAGGTAGCGTAGTGGTTACGAATTGGGCTGTGAACCTTAAGGTCAGCAGTTCGAAACTACCAGCCGCTCCACGGGAGAAAGATGAGGCTTTCTACTCCCGTAAAGATTTACACCCTTGGAAACCCTGTACAGGGTTGCTATGGGTCGGAACTGACTCGACGGCACTTAACAACAACAACAACAACAACAATGCCAGAAAACCAGTCATTGTCACGGAAAGGGTTTATAGCTGAACTCACTGCCTCACTAGCTACAGAGACCAGTAGAATGGCAGCAGAAACTGGGCAGGACAGCAGCAACAGCAGCATGATTTATAAAAACAAGAAACTGGAAATACCCCACAATACACCCTCCACTAAATAAATACTAAGGGTGATGAGTGATGTGAAGGCCAAGGTCTGGGGTTATCAGAGATCATGTAATGTCATTTGCAGGGTCAGGCAAGGCTTCCTGGAAGAGGTAATGTGGGACACAAACAGGAGGGAAGGGTAGAAATCACTGGGGGTGGGCAGGGAAGGGAGAGCAGTCCAGGTAGAGGGAGCAGAGCCCCTGAAGGCCAGAGAAGAGCGAAGCAGGGAGACAGGCTGGCAGGCAGAGGTGTGGGGAAGGATCAGGGAGATTCCTCTCTCAGGACCCTAGGCTGGGAGCCCACCTTACACTTCTGCACCTGGGCGAGGCACTCCTGCCAGGTCTTCTCGTACTGCAGGCGGATGCGCATCATGCAATCCATGTGGTAGGTGTCTTCAAGGGCAAGGGTGTGGAAACAAAACATGTCAGCAGGCTTTCCAAGAAGAAGAGGGGAACTCAGGAAATAGCTTTCCCCAGCAAAGTGCCTTCCTGACAGAAGCCATGGCCAGTGGTCCCAACGCATATCCAGGCCCTGGCTCTCCCCTAATGCCCCCGACACCTAGAGAGAAGCACCTCCGATGGCCTCCTTTCTGAAGTCATCCTGGTGAGTGAAATTCTTTAAGGGATTTCACCAGGCCATACAACAGGATGCAAATGAATGCAAATCCATGGATTAAGCCTGTGTTTGATTCCTTACCGTGTGGTGGACTCAGAATGCTTGGAAACATTTCTTTTCTACTTTCCCTCCTCCCTACTGCTTCCCAGTCTACAATTAGGCACAGTGTGGCTCTAGGTATCTAAGATAAATAAACCACAAGCCAGTCATGGATACAAAGTTCAGTTTCTAGAAGGTGAAGGACAAGACAATGATGCTGTGGTGGTTGGCGGACAAGGGTCACAGAGGAAGATAAGGCTGGCTGGTGGCTGGGGCTAGCTGAGGACCCCAGGGAGATGCACACTGGACCTGGTGAGAAGCTCTTCAAGTCGCTGTCTCCCATCTCAAGGGTTACTTCCTAGGCCACAGAATCCGGACCCTTCTCAGACATTTCTGTGATGGGCCCTTGCTGGAGACTACTGCTCCACCTTCCTGCACCCCTCAGATCCGTTTGCAAGCTCTGACTTTAACACATCAAGCTCAGGAGCCTCCTCTGGGCGCCTCTGGTCTCCAGGATGAAACCAGACTCCTTCATAGTCTGGCCCTCTCCCTCCTGCAGCTTTCCCACCTCCTTCTCTTCCTGCCCACCCTATGCTCACTGTTCTCCTGCACCCTCTTCCCTCCTGCCCCAAGATAGGCTTGTCCCCCATCTCCTGAGTTTCTAACAGAATCCCAAAGAGATGGCCACAGACTGGCTAATGCCATACAAAGCTACTACTGGGGCAAAGCCCTGGGCAGACCCAGGTGGAGCCCTGCAAACATCACTCACCCAGTTGCTTATTCAGGGCAACAAGAGAAGAATACCATTCGGTCAGTTGAGCTTGGCTGTAAACTGGGGGCAGAAGCTCACTGGAGAAAGAAGATGTGGCAAGTAAGCGACACTTGAATAAAATGCAAACTTAAAAAATCAGTAGCATTGTCAAGGAACATAGCTTCAGAATATGATTCATTTAAATGGAAAGAACAAAGTGTCTTCATTGGGATTTTCTGGTGCCAAAAAAGACCTGAAAAAGGTCCTTTAATCCTAGTGAGTTCATTTTTAGCAAAAGAAGAGTGATTTTTTTTTTTTTTTTTTCTTAAATGGAAAAAATCCAGGCTACTCATATCACTTGACCAAGAAATTCTACTTCTAGGGACCTAAGCTGAAAAAACAGAAAATTCAGATAAAACTCATGCACTAAGATGTTCACTGCCAATATTTATTCCTTATAAACAAGAAATCTTAACTTTTGTGTAAGCTGGTGGTGACGGGTGCCAGCAAGTTGGTTCTGATTTATAGTGATCCTGAGGATGTAAATCTTCATGGGAGCGAAACAGTCTCATCTTTCTCTCGAGGAGCAGTCGGTGGATTCTAACTGCTGACCTTGAGGTTAGCAGTCCAGTGCATAACCCACACTACACTACCAGAGCTCCCTAACCCCCACATATAACAATAGAGAGATGTCAAAATAAGCTACATTAGATAATAATTTAAAATCATTAAAGTAATAGTACAGCCGATTAAAAAGTGGTCAAAATGTCAAGGAATCCTCCCCATCAAGTGGTACAGAATTAGACAATTCTCCCTAGCTTGAATCTGGACTTGGCCATGTGATCACCTTTGGCCAATGGGACATTAGGAAAAGTGACACCAGCAGAAACTAGACAAGGGCTTGTGCACAGGGCCTTGTCCTGTCTTGCTGCTGGGAACTCTTGCCCTGCCTTGTGAATGAGCCTGAGCTAGCCTCCTGGAAGCTGAGGCCACGTGGACAGAGGCTGAAGTTGTTCTCGCCAAGGCTCCGGACTAAAAAAAGTATTTAAAAATTATGTGCACATATACCTATCGGGGCCAGAAAAATGCATGCAATCTTAGCAATACTCCAAGCCCCTCGGGAGACCTGTGTGTGAGCAGAACTAGGATGGCATCCTGGGATTTCCGGAGGAAGGATTTGGAACTGTGGGTCAGGAAGGCTGGGGTGTTGTCCCCTGCTCCCAAATAAGGCAGTTCCCTAAGACAGCTCCTTTGTCATGACTACAAGGCCACTTTAGCTCCCAGAGAAGAGGGGAGTAAGTGTGGTCTACAAGGTACGTTCTGCGATGCTGCCGAGTCCTTCTAGGACAAACTTCTTGAAGTTCATTGGAGTTCTACGATCAAGGCTTCGCTCTTTTACATTGAGTCCGTGAGCTCAAAGCACACACTCTGGACACTAGAATTGTGCTCTGACTCCATCTCTACATAGTCACACTGCAAAGGAGCTAATTTGTATAGGCGGCCAATTCCTCTAACTTACCCTTCCACACAGTAAAGCTGAGGGGGGACACTCAGCTCACCACTAGCCTCAGAAAGAAACCTAAACACCTATGGATGCTGCATACTCTGGTCCTGTCTACCCCACCTCCCTCCCCCCACCCCATTATAACCTTCTTTAACGTTCTACACCAGAATCACACTCAACTTCTTTCTGTAGCAAGTGTGCCATGTTCTCATTTGCTATTGGGGCTGGAAGGTCCAAAAACAAGGACCTGGAGACCAGCCACAACCAGAGACCAGAGACCAGGGAGATGCCTTGGTCTGCAGAGTACCTCAGGAGAGAGGTCTCTACTGATGGTGTAGCCACCTCCCCACCGGACCCCAAAACGTGGTCCTTCCTCACGACGCCTCCTGAGGTACCACAATGTGTAGAGATGTTGCAGCCGCTTCTGCTTTAGTGATTTCTGGGTTTTCTGCATGACTTCCAGCTCCTTCTTCACGGCTGGAGGAGACTGGATCCTCTCACTGGCCATGAACTCACTGGGCAGCCAGACACGTTTGCACCACAGAGAGGAGAGAAGGGGAAAGAGAAGATGAGACCATGGCCAAACATTCCGAGTGTCCTTCCCTTACACACTGGCTTCTTCCAGCCCTCCTAGACCTCAGGGATACGGGAAAGAAGGTGGAGAGGAAGGCTGGGGGGAAGAGGGAGAGGCCAGGAGAAAGACAGAAAGGAGGTTAAAAAGCCAGGGAGAGAAGGGAAATTGGGAAAGAGGGAGGATGGTTGAAGAAGCAGGGACAGTGGAGCCCCAAGTGCCCTGGCAGCGTAGTGGATTATGAGCTTGTCTGCTAACCTCAAGATCAGCAGTTCAAATCCACCAGGTGCTCAATGGGAGAAAGATGAAGCTTTCTGCTCCTGTAAAGGTTTATAGCCTTAGAAAACCTATACAGGGTTGCTTAGAGTGGGAACAGACTTGACTGGATACAACCACCAACTACCACTCCCAAGTGCAATCCAGGAGATAAGAGGGGGGACCTGCAGGCACAGATCTAGATGTTGGTAAGAGCTGTTGAGTTGGTTCGGACTCATAGCGACCCTGTATAGTTTCCAAGGAACAGCTGGTGGGTTTGAACTGCCAACCTCGTGGTTCACAGTCCAGTGCTGATCCCACAGTGCCACATCAGAAGTCCCAGATAAGGATGAAGGTCTGTTATAGAAATGAAGCAAGGATGGCCTCCATGCACTGGTCCCAAGCTGTTTACTTCTTCATGGCCAAACCAATAACCCAAACCAAATCCATGGCTGTTGGGTCGATCCCACTCATAGCGACCCTACAGCACAGGGTAGACCTGCTCCCTGCGCGTTCCCAGGCTGCGTACTTTATGGAAGCAGAAAGTCTAATCGTTCTTCTGTGGAATGGTTGTGGGTTCAAACTGCTGACCAACATTTAACCCACTGTACCACCAGAGTTCCTTAACTGAGGCCAGTTAGCCCCCAAAACCTGAAGTTGCCACACTCAAACTTGTACATATTCAACTGTTCTTAAGCAGAACAAATAAATAGATTTTTAACCACAAAGAGAAAGCCTGCTTTATAAACTCTAAAACTGCGGCCAACCTCTGCTAGCTCGAGTGAGGTAAGATAGTGATGACGGTGGTGTGCCGTCGAGTTGGTCCAACTCCTAACAATGCCATACACGGTTTTTGAGGCTCTGCGGAGTGACTGATAGAGAGAACTGCTGATCTTGTGATTAGCAGCCCAACTTGTAATCCACTACACGACTAGGGCTCCTTCTAGATAAGATAAAACCCTGTAATGATATGCAGTCCTGGTCTGGCACTGTGGGTTAAAGCACTGGACCACAAAGTCTGTTTGAACCATAAGATCAGTGGTTCAAACTCAGTAACCACTCCTTGGAAACCCCATAGGGTCGCTGTGAGTTTGCACCAACTCCAGGGCACTTAACAACAATGCTCCATGGTCGATATGTGTCTGAATCAACTTGACAGCACTTAAAAACAGCAAGGTGCCATGGAGGGGCTCTAGTGATGTAGTGGGTTATACACTGGGTTGCTAACTGCAAAGTCAGTAGTTCGAATCCACCAGTCACTACTCAGGAGAGAAAGATTTGCAGTCTTAGAAATCCTCTGCAGGGTTGCAATGAGTCTGAACTGACTGAACAGCACAGAACAACAAGAAGGTACCATGGAAGGATCCCTGGTGGCACAGTAGGATAAGCACTGGACTGCTAACTATAAAATCAGCAATTCAAGTACATCAGTTCACCAGTGGGGAAAAGATAAGGTTGTCTGCTCCCATAAAGTTGTACAGACTCGGAAATCCTGTACAGGGTCACTGTGAGTTGCAATCGATCTGTTGGCACTGGGTTTTAACGTGCTGTAGGATCAGCGCTGGATTGTGAACCACAAGATCGACAGTTCAAACTCACCAGCCGCTCTTCAGAAACCCTATACAGGGTCACTCACTATGAGTCGGAACCAACTTGATGGCACTTAACAACAGGATTCCTACTGGCACGGTGGGTTACTGGTTGGGCTGCTAAGTGCAAGGTCAGAAGTTCAAACTCCCTATCTGCTCCTCAGGAGAAAGATGAGGCTGTCTGTTCCCATAAAAATTTTCAGCTTCAGGGACCCTATGGAGCAGTTTTATGCTGTCTTATAGGGTTGCTATGAGTTGGAATGGACTCAGCTTGGCAGTGGGTTTGGGGAGGCGCTGCTGCCTTTGGAGTGCTCTGACCCAGACACGCCACCTTGCTGCAGAGGACTTTATTCAGATTCCTGTAGGCCCCGCTTTTCCTCCCCTTCATGGTTCCCAGTGCTGCTTGTCTGCTGTAGAAGACTGTCTCTGCAATGCTTCGGCTCCAAGAAACAGCTGCTGGGCATCGCTAGGCTTTCTTCTTGATCAGCCCCTAACTCCCTGGAACTCACTACAGGCTCGTGACTGCCGCTGCCAGCTCTGTCACTGAGAGCAAGTCACCTCTCCTAACTTTCCTCTTCTCTGAAGTGGAGCTATAGATGGTACTCACTCGTGAGGGGACTCAATCCTGTAGGCAAAGCCCTGAGCACCGTGCCGGCAACATGGGGACTGATGTTTGTAACAGTTCCCAATCCTAGGCCCAGAACCTGGACTTTCCATATACTATCTTGTAGGATCACTTGAATCCTACCACCAGGTTATTAAGAATATGCCCATTTTGTACAAAAAGAGAAAGACTCAGGTTCCCGTAGCTTGATTGGTACTTGAGCATGGAAAAGCACTGGTGGAGCCAGGCCTTGGAATGCTTTTCCTTCATCCCCAGCATCACACTCCCGCTATCACTGATGCGCACAAATGTACAGACTGCCTGGCCCCACCCCACCAGGACTAGCAGTTTAGATGGATGCTTCTCTGATGTCCTTCACACATCTGAGCCCAAAGTGTTCTTTGCAAAAAACAGCCTTGCTTGTTGGCTGAAAGCTCCAGGACTCTTGTGTGGGTACGAAACAAGTGTCATATGGGGTTAAGGAGGGCATGGAGATGGGCCCTCTCGTCACACTCCTCCCACGGGTAAAAGTTGCTCTCCAAGGGTGGCATGTATCTAAAGCCTCCATTCTCTGTGACCCAGGGTTATGAGTAGTAGTTGTTGTTAAGTGCCTATGAGTACAGGGTTTCCAAGGCTGTGAATCTTTGCAGGAACAGAAAGCCTCATCTTTCCCCATGGGGCAGCTGGTGAGCTCAAACCACCCACCTTGTGGCTCTCTGTCCAGTGCTTATCCCACGGAGCCATGCTGCTTCCATGAGTAGTAGTAAAAAGCAGCCATTATGCAGCTATTCCGAATAATGTTTTTAAGGACTCTGTACTGCTCTCAGAACATGTGTATGGCGTAATGAAGAAAACAAGCTAGAAAACTGCCATCTACAGTAATGGCTTAAGAAGTCTGTGAGAAAATACACGGTGTTCCTTACTGGGGATTTTTCATTTCTTTACACCTTAATGTACTTCTAGATTGCTATGTTTTTAAAGGGTACATATTACCTTTACCACCAGAAAAAGGGTAATGATAAAATGGGACAAAGACTAGCACATGCCCAACCTGCACTGGACCCCGCATGCTGCCCCCTCCACTCTCCAGGTGGGCAGTGTGAATAGCCACTGACCTGAAACTCTGTACCAGAGCTTCCTTCTTGAGACCCTTCCAGGTGTCCACCAGGGCCTGCCAGCGGCGGTGGTTGCTGACATCCTGCTGCAGGGTGGTCACCGTCAGGTTGAGGAACAGCTGGGCAATGGCCCTCCGGTTGCCCAGCAGAGCCTGGTTTATGGTCTGCAGACACAAAGGCTCAGTGACAGAGGGGCCAGGTGAAGTGCTGACCAAGGGGGACAGTGGCCAAGCGTGTTGGTGACAGGGTCTGAAAGATGCTAAGAAGTACCGAGGGGCCAGTGGTCACTCTAAAGCAGGTGCCCGAGGCTGAGTAGCCACGATGGAGATGGGGTACTCCTGAAAGGTTTATCCATGGAGAAGAGCATTTATCAGAGAAGGCGACAAGCATTAAGTCCACTAGTTGTTGTTGTTGTTGTTGTTGTCGCTGTTAGGTGCCATTGAGTCGGTACCAACTCATAGCGACCTTATGCACAGCAGAACGAAACACTGCCCCATCCTGGGCCAACCTCACAATTGTTGCCATGCTTGAGCTCATTGATGCTGCTACTTGGCCAGTCCATCTCGTTGGGGGTCTTCCTCCTTTTCTCTGACCCTCCACCTTACCAAACATGATATCCTTCTCCAGTGACTAGTCCCTCCTGACAATATGTCCAAAGTATGAGAGATGAAGTTTGGCCATATTGGCCTCCAAGGAGCACTCTGGCTGCACTTCTTCCAGAACGGATCTATTGGTTCTTTTGGCAGCCCATGGCACTTTCAGTATTGTCCTCCAACACCGTAACTCAAAAGCATCAATTCTTCTACGGTCTTCCTTACTCACTGTCCAGCTTTCACATGCATAGGAGGTTACTGAAAATACCATGGCTTGGGTCAGGCACACCTTAGTCCTCAAGGTGACATCTCTGCTCCTCACCACTTTAAAAAGGTCTTGTGCAGCAGATTTGCCTGATGCAATACGTCGTTTGATTTCTTGACTGCTGCTTCCACCAGTGGGACTAAGTATTTAACGATTTTTTTTGCTTCTGTATCAGAAGCAATGTCCTCACATCACCAGAGACCGGCCACTTATGGCTGTTACCAGTGCCTCCTGTTTCCCCCAAATAAGGCCAGAGGTGGAATGTTCTTCCCCCATGATCCTGGTGGTTCTCACCTGGGCACTCTTGGTGTGGGGCCACTGTGGGGTGCTGTTCTTCTGCTTAGCATTCCTGCCCCCCTAAAATCAAAGTAGTCACCCCAAGCCTGCACCAGTCACCCTCCACACATTTCCCAAAGCCCTCGAGAAATGTGGCACTGCCTGAAGACAAAAATCAACTGGAAAAATCAGACATTCACAGGTCAAGAACTCTGGTGTGTAGCATCAGACAGCCCCCAGGACAAGAACTCTGCTGTGTAGCATCTAACTCAGTGCACACAGCAGCTAAGCCCCTCATGCTGTTCTGTGATCATCTGCCAACATGCCTGCCTTACCACTAGACTAGGAAGTTAGTCTCCCTTTGCCCTGTGTGTCTAGATTAATGCCCAACATAGTAGGCACTTGGCAAAGTGCTCAAAACTAGAACACCATGTTAGGTACACTTGGTTTAAAAGGCAGGGAAGTAAGAAATGTCTTTTAGAAAGATTTCTATTGAAAATGCTTAAAATAACAAAGGCACTGATTCGAAAACTTCAAGAGGCCAAGAAATGCTATATATGAGTAGCAGGCCATTCCAGAGACACCATGGGGTCCTACTTCTATGGGGTCCTGCTCCTTCTCCCATGGGACATTGTTATTAAGTGCCATTGCATCAGTTCTGCCTCATAGCGACCCTGTACAGGGTTTCCAAGGAGTGGCTGGTGGTCAGCAGGTCGGTGCTGATCCTACTGTGCCACACAGGACTCCTCTCCCATGGATTAGGTCCCCGCACATAACTACCACTTACCATGGCTTCTTTATTTATCAGTCTGTACACATCAGGCTGCATGAGGTAGGAAGTTTTCTCAATGATTTCCACATACTTCTTCAACACATCTCTAAGCTAGAAAGGAATGACAAGGCATCAGACTTAATGACTGTCTTCTTTTCTGAAGAACTCAAAGGAAACAGATGGATTCCCAACATACTTAGCAAGTAAAACCACCAAGGAGCTTGTGCATGCCAACTCACTTTATCAACTCGAGAGAACTCAAGGTAGTGCAGCTTTTCATCCAGCTCCTTGATCCACTGCTTGCGGAAGAGGCACTTCTCAGACACCTTATCCCACAGTTCCAACAAAGTCTACAGAAGAATGGGTGGGAAGGAGAAAGGGGAAGGAGCAAGACCAGGCAGGGGAGCGTGGGGAGGCCCAGGCAAGAGGAATCCCTACTTGGATGGTGTACTCTTGGAGCTTGGAGTCAGTTTCCAGCTTTATGAAGAGATGCTCAATGTCTTCATCACACTCAGCCAATTTTTGCAGAAGAAGGGTTCCTGATTCCAAGATGAGAGGTTCCATTTCCTAAAACAGGCCAGGAAGACCAATGGGGAAATGCTAGGCATGGTCTCATCTTCCAGAAAAATCACTATCACCTAGTCCTAACGAGTGATGTGTTCCTGATATAGGATTCACAAACACAGTACAGAGAGCAGCCACCATGCTGAGCCTTTGTCCTATGCTTTACTGGATTCCCATCACAACCCTAAGACTGAGGTGCTGACTTTGGGAGAATATTTATTAAAGAACTGGCTAAAGTAAAGTACTCCAAGTTTACCTCACACAAGGACACTGAGGCTCAGTTAAGATGTGTGACCAAGGCCATGGAGTTTGTGGATAACAGTAGAGGTGGTCTAATTGAGATGCCCATGTGAAAGGGGTGAGCTGGCTGGGGGAGTGTGTGTTGATGATCTGCCTGGAGCCAATTCCAGGAATCTAGGACTAGGTGACACAAGTTGGCGAGGGGAGTGAGCAGTGTCTGGGGATCAGACAGAACTAAGAGGGGACGAGGCTTAGAGGCAAGAAGGCTGATTTTCTTTAGGGAACATTTCAGAGACCAATTTGGCTAGGAATAAGGTCTCTGGCGAAGAACAGGTAAAGCCAAGTGTGGAAGGTGCTAAGGGTCAGGCAGTATCAAGCCATCAACTTCAGGCCAAGTCCTTTGGACATTCAACAGGACTGAGCAAGGAGGTCAAAGGTTGGGCTTTGGTGTCAGACCTAGAATCCAGTTCTGAGTTGGCCCCTATGTGCTGTGTGACCTCAAGGAAGACTCTGGACCTTACCTGCAGAATGGTTGTTGTTGTTAAGTGTTGTCGAGTCACTGCTAACCCATAGTTACCTGGTTTAGGGTTTCCAAGGAGCAGTTGGTAAGCTTGAATCATCGACTTTGTGATTCAAGCTGACGTTATAGTCCAGCGCATTAACCCACAGAGCCACACCAAGATGCTACAGAATGGTGGCAACAGCCAAAGCTAACTTCTAGGACGGTTACAAGAATTAAGGTGGGCCAAGCTATAGGATGGAGTTCTGGTGTGACACTGTGGGTTAATGCACTGGACTGCAAAGTCAGTTTGAACTGTGAAGTAAGCAGTTCAAGCTCACCAGCTGCTCCTTGGAAGCCCATACAGGGTCGCAATGGGTCAGAACCAACTTGACAGCATTTAACACCACAAGCGATACAATCACTATGACTCAGAACTGACTTGATGGCAGTGGTTTTAAGCTTAGCACCTAACCTTGCAGGCACGAAGCATTCATACATAGCTACTATCACTCCATCTATGCCATGGTGTGCGAGGACTTCCAAGCTGGGATGTAAAGGAGGAGGAAACATCTTTGGAACAACACAGGAATGGAAAAGGACTCTCACCATCCCAATTTGTTTGATCTCCTCCTGAAAGTTCATCAAAGCACTCTCATAACTCTCCTTTTTTGACTCTCCTCTCCTTTGAAGGGTGATGGTGCTGGTTTTCTCAGGAACTAGGGGAGAAAGAACGGAGGTGATAAGGTTGTTCTCCGGATACAAAGGGATTCATTCAAGGGTTCCCAGGAAAAGACAGCACAGGAAGAGAGCACCTGAATGCCAGGGCCTTTCTTCGGAAGACTAAATGCGTAGCCACACAAGCAGAAACAGGGGCTTAAGGAAAGAGAAAAAGGGGAAAGGTGAGCCTTTGGTGAAGCAGGGAGCGAGGCCTCATATACTCACTAAAATGCAAAGGGAACATTTCAGAAGGATATGTGCAGAATGGTACCATTTATGTTTTTTCTATAGTTTTATAGATGAAAATAACACATAATAATAATCGATACTTAGAAGTGATACCACCTGCCAGGTATTATTAACTCAATTACTCATAGTGAGGCCAAGATGGCGGTTCTATCATTATTCCCAATTTCCAAGTGTAGAAACTTAAGGAGTACTGTGAGACCGGAAAATTACTTTGCACAAAGAATTTGGTCTTTGTCCCTGGTTCTTGGAAGGTAACCTCTAAATCCTTGGAATTTCCCAAGTAATGTTATTGTTCTGTGGCCTCCAGTTAATTCTGCCTAACTCACGATGACTAGAGACAGAGCAGAACCTCCCATAGAGTTTCCTAGGCTGTAATCTTTACGCATGTGAAAATTGGACAATGAATAAAGAAGACAGTAGAAGAATTGGTGCATTTGAGCTATGGTGTTGGAGGAGAATATTGAAAGTACCATGGACTGCCAAAAGAACAAGCAAATCTGTGTTGGACGAAGTACAGTTCAAATGTTTCTTAGAAGCCAAGATGGCCAGACTTCGTCTCTCATACTTCGGATATGTTATCAGGAGGGACCAGTCCCTGGAGAAAGATAACATTCTTGGGAAAGTGGAGGGTCAGTGAAGAGATGCTACTGTGAATGGGAGAAATCAGTAGGTAGAAGAGGTGAACAGAAAGTTTCAAAGGGCAGCTAGAAAACAAAAGTATTACAATGAAATGTGCAAAGACCAAAATGAAAAAAACCAAAAGAGAAGAGCATGCTTAGATTTTTTCAAGCTGAAAAAAAAATTAAAAGCTTCAACTTGTAATACTGAAGGATTCTATGGGAAAAATACTAAGTTATACAGAAAGCATCAAAAGAAGATGGAAGGTATACACAGAGTCACTGTACCAAAAAGAAATGGTCAATGTTCAACCATTTCAACAGGAAGTATATGATCAAGAGCCAATGGTACTGAAGGAAGAAGTCCAAGCTGCACTGAAGGCACTGGTGAAAGACAAGAAGACTCCAGGAACTGATGAAATTCAAGCCAGATTCAGAAAAGGAGGTGGAATGAGAGATACCATTGCTGATGTCAAACGGATCTTGGCTGAAAGCAGAGAATACCAGAAAGATGTTTGCTTGTGCTTTATTGACTATGTAAATACAAAGGCTTTCAATTATGTGGATCAGGACAAACTATGAACAGCATTGAGAAGAATAGGTAGGTATTCCAGAACACTTAATTGTGATCATAAGAAACTTGTACACAAATCAAGAGATAGTCGTTCAAACAGAACAAGGGGATACTAAATGGTTTAGAATCAGGAACCATATTTATTCAATAGGTTTGTTGAGCAAATAATCTGAAAACCTGTATTATATGAAGAACGTTCATATAATACAATGTGGCATCAGGATTTGAGGAAGACTTGAATGATACAACTTTGCTTGCTGAAAGTTAAGAGGACTTAAAAATACTTAGTGATAAAGATCAAAGACTACAGCCTTCAGTGTGGATTGCACCTCAATGTAAAAATAAAAAATCCTCACCACTGGACCAATAAACAACACCATGATTAATGGAGAAAAGTTTGAAGTAGTGAAAGACTTCGTTTTGCTTATATCCACTATCAACGCTCAGGGAAGCAGCAGTCAAGACATCAATGGAGGCATCAAGGAAAGAAAAGTGAGCCTATCAGGAGAAATCCCCTTTTAAGACTGAAGCCCGTGAGAAGTATTAACATGCTCACTGGTGACCAACCTGGATCTACTTGTAAGTGAAGTGAGGGGAAATGCAACAATGAAGGCATGGGCTGAATTTGGCCATGTTCCATTGACACTCATTGACCTTGAGATGGGAGAGAGCAGAGGAAAGCCTGGCTGGTCTGAAGTTTAGGAAGATGTGTGAGCCCATGGGTACTGACCTAGCCCTTGGGGGCCAGGGCTGAGAATGAAGCAGTCAGTTGGTCTGAAATGGAGGGAGGTGTGCATGAACTCCAAAACTTGCAGTTAATACCTATTTGACTTAGCTTGGATGGCTAGCTGACCAGAACGCAAACCAAGGAAGATAAAGATGTTTAATATTGAGAACAAGTGCAAATTGCTACAATTTGACAAACTAGACTTTTGCCTATGCGTGCAGTGACTCAAAATTCCAACCAGAATGGAAGGATTCTTCATATCAAAGAACAACCTTGTTTCCTCAGTGTACTGGGTTGGTAGGGATGAGAAATTTAGACACTGGCTATCAAAAATGGGGTGGGAGGGGCTACAAAGGCACCAAGTGGCTGGCTTACCAGCTTTCATGAGTGTGCTTAGTTGCAGAATGAGGGGGAAAAAGAGGCATAGAGAGCAGGAGGGATAAGAAAACAAGATCCTTCAATATACTGTCTACAAGAGATGTATCAAAAATATGGAGACAGCCTAAATACCCATCAGCAGAAGAATGGTTACACAAACTTTGGTACATACACATAATGGAATACTACAAAATGTTAAAGAATAATGATGACCCTGTGAAGCACCTCACAACATGGTTGAACCTGGAGGACATTATGCTGAGTGAAATTAGTCAATCACAAATGGACAAACATTGTATGTGACCAGCATAAAAAAGTTTTTAAAAGTTTTTCTTAATAAATGAAGTAACCTTTTATCAAGAAAAACTTGATATGATGATGGGGGGATTATTCATGGGCTAGGAGGTAGACACATGTTAACAGGGGTGACAGGGTAGGCAGTATACAACAAGAGGGAGATTAGCAGAGGAAAGATGAAGGTAGCAGGAGACACAGGGAGGAATGCAATAGATAAATGCTGTTAACTGTTGGTACAGGGAGGGGATTGCAACCACACAATGAAGCAAAGTGTATGATTTGTTGAATGTAAAACTGATGATCTGCTCTGTGAACCTTCACTCAATTCACAATAAAAAGTTGGAAAATAAAAAAAAGAAAGTAATCAAATAACATACTGGACTAGGCAAATCTAGTGCACAAGACTTCTTTAAAGTGTTCAAGAGCTAGGATATTGCTTTCAGGACTAATGTGCACCTGACCCAAGCCAGGGTATTTTCAATTGCCTCATAGGCATGTGAAATTTGGATAGTGAATGAGGAAGGCTATAGAAAAATCTAAGCATTTAAATTATGGTGCTAGAGAAAAATATTAAATGTATCATGGACTGCTAGAAGAACCAACAAATTTGTGTTAGAAGAAGGGCAGCCAGATTGCTCCTTGGAAACCTGGATGGTAAGACTTCATCTCTCATACTTCAGACATATTGTTAGGAGGGACCAGTCCCTGAAGGCATGGCAAAGTAGAGAGTCGGTGAAAAAGAGGAAGACCCCAAAGAGACAGAATGACACAGTGGCAGCATCAATGGGTTCAAACATAACAAGATATTTTCCTCCTCAAACATGAAGATTTCATTGTTCTCAAGATGTGTTACAATTTCAGTATTAGCATGTATAGAGTATTATCAACCCAGGAAGCTCACCTGCACTGCTGTGTTCAGAATTTTTAGTGGAGCTTTATTACATAGACAAGAGTGTTTCATTAACTGATGGTGCATGTAGTTTAATTCGGTCTTTAGTCCCTCCCTCCCCAGAGACTGGACAGATGTCAGAGCTCACAGTGAGTTCCCTTGTTAAATCAACTGTCATTACTCTGGAAGTTTCAAGGATTTACCTCTCAGGATCCTGGGATAAATGTCAGAGTTCTCTTTAATCAAGACCAAATTCATTCCTACATACTGTTAGAGTAATCTTTTAATAAAATTATAGGTGTTGTTTTTGCTGCTATGGCAATGGTGGTAACCAATGTAACAAGATTTTGAGGATGACACTGGACTGCGATGTGTTTCGTTCTGTTGTGCATAAGGTCAAAACCGACTTGAAGGCACTTAACAAAGAAATGCAACCCTAATAAAAACTCTTAAAACACTGAAGCTTGGGTGGGCTTCCTGGTTAATGATATTATCGAAACAAGGAGAGTAATGTGTCCCTTGGGGCACAGAAATTCTGTAATTCTGTTTTGGAGACTCTCCCAGACCTCATCCTGTCTTCTATTTTTGTATTTAAAATTTTTTTTTTTAGTATCCTGGTGTGGTGCTGCAGTATAATGCGCTGGGCCTCAAGGTTAGTTTGAACTGCATGTTTGGCGGTTCAAACACACCAACTGCTCCTTGGAAACCCTATACAGGGTCCCTATGTATCAGAACCGACTCAGTGACACCTAACAACAACACAACAATGGTAAGTATAACATTGTGTAGTATCTTGAATTTACTTGAATTGGCTTTTTTATCCAATGTCTTCTTAATTCTCACCAGGTGATTGGGTGGGACCATGCAAATAAGGTGTACAGGACTCTAAGGCTAGGACTGGTTAGCTTTGCCATACAGCTAGGTTTAAAAGGAGCAGTCTCAGAAACAGGAAAAGATGATCCCAGGACTATCAATAAGGAAGAGCATGAATGGAACATGATCCCTACCCAGAAAAGTGGGTGATGGCAGAGGTGGAGGCATGGAAAGACAGAGCAGCTGAGGGTTCTAGGCCCATGGCAGAACCCTACAGGCCGAAGACTGGATTGCAAAATGTACCTTTGGGCTTTAGCAAACTGCCGAGAAGAGCTTTGTAACACTTGCCCAGGCAGGCAGAGGACATGGGGCTACATAGCTGAGAAGGTGAAGACAAGACTGAGGTGTGCTTGCCGTACGGCAGAGAAGAGGCATTCCTGATTAGAAAACTGCTGTGTCCTGAGTTGGTTTTGGTCCTGAATTGTAACCTGTTCACTTCCCTAATAATCTGCATAATCGTGTGTATTGTTATGAGTACAGTGTGGCCATTACAATGAATTATCGAACCCAGATGTGAAGCAGAGAGTGGTGTGGGAGAGATGGTGGTTGAAGATGACTATAAGGTAGAGGCATGTCTGACCTCCACTTCACAGGAAATGTGTAAGGCCACATGCCTTGTTGACACCCGAGATCCCAAGGCGAAAACCCCAGTAAATGATGGAGCAGAAGGAAGAGTGGGTGCTGTCTCCTGGTTGATCCCTCCCTGCAGGGCTCTTCTTGTCCTGGTCAGATCTGTCCTTGGGGCAGGACCAGAAACTCACCGATGGTGTCTCTGAGGCCCCGCACTTCCCGGGCAGCAATGGTGTTCTCACTCTCCTGATATTTCTTCCTCTTGGCTCTTTTCCTTTCCCTGTAGCACAAACAGAGAACAGTTTATGTCTGGGTCCCAGGGCTGCTGGCTGGCACATGGGAGAGAGAGTCTCTGGACCCCACCTGACTCCAGAGAACCCCAAGGCAGCACCCAGTCTCATAACCAGCACTGCTCATGTTTCCTGTTGTCAGACACTGTGGGTGCTAACTGAGAAATCTTCACATGGGGAAAAAGGATCAGAGGGACCTAGTGACAGGTCCTGTGCTAAGTGTTTGGCATATGTATTCATTTGCTCTTTCAGTTCTAGAATTTCAAGCTGCGTGAAGGTGGGATTCCCATACCCAGAGCCTGGTCCTAGGTTCTCAATCCATCATTACTTACTGAGAGGAAGGACACAAAGACGAAATAAGAGCTACTACGTCCCTCCGCCAAGTACCTAAGCTTCATTCCCACCTGGGACTTATCTTGTGTGCACTCTTTTTAACTTTTCTGAAGAGCCCATGGGACACACAGGTTGTAGGGATGTGATCTGAGTGGCAGGGCTTACTTGAGAAGCACAGGGTTTTCCGTGACCCAGTCGTTGGGCAGGCTGTGTGCCCACTTCTGCTGCTGAGGAGACAGCATCTCTCCTTCAAGCACGTCCACCTTCTTCATCAGGGGTGTCTTACCACTCTTCAGGCTCACAGAATGCTCCACAGCCTGCTTCCGACTGGCCGCCAGTGACCGGACCAGCTGCACCTGAGTGCATGGGAGACCAGGGGTAGGAGGCGGAACTGTGGACTTCCCTGCACCCTCAGGTGGGCTGTGCTAAACTTCAATATCATTGGGAGATGCCACCAGGAAGGCATCTCCAGCCCAGGCCTTCAACCCAACAGCACATGGATTGGTGCCCTGGGATGAGGGCTCTATACACCACAAGAAACTCACGCAGCCACTTTGGAGAAGCTACCTTTTAAGAAATTTAAATGAGAACCAAGATGTTAATCTCTTTGCCTTATTTACATTTTAGTATTGTAGTGACAATTACACAAAAATATGTCATTTCAATTAATTTCTATATAATTCAGTGACACTGATTACATTCAAATTGTGTAACCATTCTCACAATCTTTCAATTTATTCTACCACCATTAAGATAAACTCAGAGTCCCTAAGTAAAACACCAGGAATTGGAAACAATGGAACCGCCCAATATAGGGAATTGACTAAGTACCTATGGTGTGTCCATTCAATGGACTGTCAGTTATTCAAAATGAGATCTATAAAGAATCAGTCAACACATGAAACGTTAGAAGTTCAAGTTCACCCAGAGGATCCTCGGGAAAAGGCCCTGGTGATCAGAAAGGTTTCCATGCATGGTGGCTCCATAAGATAAGCAATGAACTTCAAACCACAAGGTCAGGGGTTCAAGCCCACCAGCTGTTCTACGAGAGAAAGATGAGGTTTTCTGTTCCCACAGAGATTTAAAATCTCATAAACCATACAACAGAGTTAGTTGGTTCGGAACTAACTCAATGCCACTTAACAATTTAGGGTTTCCAAGGAGGGGCTGGAGTCCTGGTGTGGTGCTGTGGGTTAATGTGCCAGACTACAAAGCCATTTGAACTACAAGATCAGTGGTTCAAGCTCACCAGTCGCTCGCTGGAAACCCTATACAGGGTCGCTATGGGTCAGAACCCACTCAAAGGCACTTAACAAGGAGGGGCTGGTGGATTTGAACTGTTTGTGATTAGCAGTCCAATGATAATCCTACAGCGCCACATCAGGACTCCACATCACAAATCAAGTGGTCTAATTTTCAAGAACAGTCATTAATACTGTAAGCGGTAGATTTTAAGAACCAGCAGGAATTCGTTTTAAAATCACAAAGCAATTTCAAAGCCCTTATTTCATTGGATTCCCAGACTGGGAAGTCCTGGAAGCAGAGAACTGGGGAGTGGTGCAGAGCTAAGAGGACTGAAGGAAGGTGAATGAGGAGAGGAGAGGGCAAGCAGTGGGAAGTTGGGGGAACTGAGGGAACCTACCTCAGCTTCGAAGATCTGCTGGTAGACTTTCCCATTCTGAACCTGGGTCACTCGTCCCACTGAAGACATATTGACGGCCAGCCAGTTGCCCCTGCCAGAAAGCCATTATCCAGGTCACTTGTCTGCGGTTGGGTCTCAATTTCTACCTTGGATATTGGGAAACCAGCTCCCACCCCCACCCCTACCAAAAGCAAGTCCGCGGGGGAGAAAGAGGTCGGGGCCCGCGGGCCTCTCAGTTCAGGGGTAGTGGCTTCAGGGCTCCTTCCTCCCAGCCCCAAGCGCAGGTTTAAAACAAACAATAAAAGACGCGAGGGGGTGAGGGTAAAAATGAAACAAACCTTAGGCAAGAACACAACTCGCTGAGGTAGGCGGCTCTCTCCTCTGCCCAGAGAGCAAATCCTAGGCGGTCTTCGGGGAGCGGTGAAAAACGACTGGTTAGTGTTTCACTCCCCCTGTTGCTCCAAGGGAAAGTCAATGCGCACAAGGGGGCAGTTGGGATTTGAACCCCGCCTGACCTCGACCAGGCGCTGAACTCAGAGGGGAGGAAAGTGAAGCGAAGGAGAGAGCAGCTGGATTTCAGCGACTTGAATTAGGCGCCTGCTGTATATATAGAGGACACAGCCAACTGGAAACCACAACCTTCTCCCTTCTCCCCCATTTCCCCAACCCAGCGAGCAGCACCGGAGGTCCTAGGAGCCCCGCAAGGCCAATTGTGGATAGAACCACAACTGCCAAAAGAAGTTTGTCTGTCGTCTCCACGACAACGCGGAAGTTAGCCCCGCCCTCCCCTTCCTCCTCTCCCTCTCCTCCTTCCTCTCCCTGTCCCAGAAAGGCAGGGGCGGGGGATGGGGTGGGGTGGGGTGGGAATTACCCTAAGCACTGAAGGCACCCCACGAGGATTAGTAAACCTCTTAGTCTGCCCTCTCCCTCCAGGCTATGTTTCCACGGAAAAAGATACACTAAAAAAACCACTATAGCTAAATCAAAATGAATTTTAAAACTTATTCAAGTAACCCATAAAACCATAGGAAAAAGAAAACAAAGAATTGAACAGAGGAAACCAACAAAAACAAACAAAACTGCTGACTTTGAGATTAGCAGTTCAACTCATAATCACTATGCTACCAGAGCGCCTGTGCAGACTAAATAAGGAAGAGTAAAAAACTGGCTGTCTTTAAGAGAGTTCAACTGTAATGATATAGGTAGGTTGAAAGAAAGGATTACTTTTACTGTGTTGTTTTTAAATGCCATGGAGTCAGTTCCCACTCATAGCAACCCTGTATAGGGTTTCTGGGGATTCCTAGTGGGGCACTATAGGATAAGCACTGGACAGGGAACCACCGTGTCGGCGGTTCAAACCCACCAGCTGCTCCTCGGAAACCCCAGATAGGGTGGCTATGAGTCAGGACTGACTGGAGGACACTTAACAATAACAATAGGATTTCTGAGAAGCTTCAAACATGGTCTTGTGGTTAATCAAAAGGAAGCAAGAGTGACTGCAATATTATCAGATAAAATATACTTCAGAACAGAAAGGGACATAAACCAAAACGCCATAAACCAAAACACAAACCCAACTCACTGATACTGAGTTGATTCTGATGCATAGTGACACCATAGGACAGACTAGAACTGCTCTCTTTAGGTTTCTGAGACTAAATCTTTATGGAGGCAGACTGCCTCATCTTGCTCTCTCTGAGCAGCTGGTGGGTTTGAACTGCTGACCTTGTGGGGTTAGCAGCCCAACATTTAACTCATAGCATAGATCCTAAATGTGTAAATACCAAACAACAGAGCTGCAGATTTCAGCAAGGGTAGACAGATACAACTGAAAGGAGAAACAGATAAATATACAATTATAGTGGGAGATTTCCACAATCTTCTCTCAACAATTGAGAGGACAACAAGATAGAAAATCAGCAATGATGAAGAAAAAAATATGGTACTGTGGGATCAGCCATGGACTACAGACCAGAAGATTCAAACCAGAAGGTTCAAACCCACCAGCCGCTCCTCAGAAACCCTATATAGGGTCTCAATGTCAGAAGTGACTCGAATGCAGTAAACAACATCAACCAACAGTATCTAATGGACCTTTATAGAACACTCCACCCAGCAAAATACACATTCTTTTCAAGCACTCATGGAACATTTATCAAGAGACTGAGCCATAAAACAAACCTCAAGAAATTGACAAGAATTGAAACCATACAGTTTGTTCTCTGACTACAATGGGATCAAACTAGAAGGCAATAACAAAAGGTAATAAGAAAATCTCCAAACAAGAGGAAGCTAAACACAAACACAACACTTCTAAATACTATATAGGTCAAACAGGGTGTCTCAAGGGAAATTTAAAAAGTATATTAAACTAAATGGAATTTCAGTGTTTGAGCTTGCAAACTCTGAATTCCTAATTGGCATCAAAAGAAATCAGAGTAATAGAGCAGAAAATGTTCCATTTTCCTCCAAGGCTGGAGAAAAATAGTCAACCATCGTGGATGAGGTAAAGCTCTTTTAAAGACCCCCACCTTTCAGAGGTTGTTGCTATCCTGTGACAGACAGTACCTTCCTCCTCTAAGCTCCAGGAGTTCACATGGGCTGTCTGAACTCCTTGTCCAGTTTAGGACACTGAAGTGGACATGTGCTCTGTGAAAGTTAGACTTAAGTGCTTACTTCAGGGGGCCAGAGAAGGGTGACTGGCCCTTCTCTTTCCTTCTGCGTTACATAAACTGATGACCCTGCAAGATCTCCTATTTCAAAGAAGAACAAAAACTTCAGTATCTCACTTTAATTAATATAAGCAATGAAGGAACAAAATCACAACTCGCAGACTACAGGAGAAGCAGGATTGTAATATAATATTTAAGATTAGCATTTGCTATTTTCAACAAATAAATATTGCTCCTCTCCAATTGGCAAAAATTTCATTGTTGTTATACAGAATCCCAGTCCTCCTTCTTTTCCTCCCCAATCCTCCATCCCATAAAGCCCAGGGAACAGTGAATGGGGTCATGCCATCAGATTTGACGCTGACAGGGTGCAGAGTAGAGTCTCCTCTCATGGGGGAGGTTTGTGATGGGGGCAGGAGAGACTCCCTCAGTCTCGGTTAGGTGTGCAGATGGAATCTTTGAGGCAGCCTGAGAAAGGCTAGAGTGATGAGAGATGAAGTCTTGCCATCCTGGCTTCTGAAGAGCATCTTGACTGTACTTCTTTCAACACTGATTTGTTTAGTCTTCTGGCAGTCCGTGGTATTTTCATTATTCTTCTCCAACATGATAACGCAAATGGTCTTCCTTATTCATTGTCCAACTTTCACATGCATATGAGGGTACTGAAAATACCATGGCTTGAGTTAGGCACACCTTAACCCTCAAACTGACATCTTTGCTTTTGAACATTTCAATGAGGTCTTGTGCAACAGATTTGCCTAATACAATACATCATTTGGTTTCTTGACTGCTGCTTTCATGAGTGTTCCTTATAGGTGTATGGATATTATCCTATCACAGACGGCACAGTACTTCAAGATAGATCTTGAAATGCTCTTTTATACAATGAGTGAAATACCATTCCTCTTCAATCTGTTGTTCCCTGCATGATTAATTGTATGATTGTCTGATTCAAAATGGCCAATACCTTCTGGGGCAAGATGGAGGAGTAAGCAGACAGGCTGAGCAGATCTTCTGCAACAAAGACATGACAGACTAAGAGAAACAGATACAAATGGTGATCCTGGAACCCTGAGCTTCAGAGGTGAAGACAAAGAGGTGGACTGGGCGCTGACTGGAAGAGGAAGCTGAACAGTGAGGTAAGAAAAAGGGACATGCTATCAGCTGGCAAGGAGCAGCATGGCCATCTTGAGTTTTTTGAGCAGCTGTTGATATAACAACCTGCAGGCACAGAACGTGGCTTGATGTTGATGATGAAGAGGGTGCCGTTTTCCCTTGTTGTGTGTCCTACTGGTAGCCAGGGGCTCATCCAGTCCCTGCCCTTGCCAATCCAGTGGCCAGAGTCATCCTCTCCTTGACACACTTAGCTCTACCTGGAGTGCTGGAAGTGCCGCCCCTGATTCTGGAGGACCATGGGCCCACCCTGAGTTACAAAACACAAACAGCAAATAGAACCACAAGCACACTGCCATTCTCTATCACATTCACCAGGATACAGGTGGTGAGTGCCTGAAAACATGCCAACATACAATCATCAATTAAATACAAATGCAGCAACACCACAATGTCTCGGAGAAATCAGACAATGTAAGAGTATACAAAGAAACAAGACAAAGTGCTTCAAGCATATGGCCAAAATATGGTCAGAAAATAGACCAGAAATGATCTCAGAACCACTTGAAAAGGAATTTAAAAGAATGATATTTAGGTACCTTCAACAAACTTGAGGGAGTCCTTGTGTGGTGCTGTAGGATAAGCACTGGGCTTCTAGTTGTGAGGTTGGTAATTCAAACCCACTCTTCAGAAATCCTGTTAGGGCCACTATGAATCAGAATAGAATCCATAGCACAATGGATTAAGAGAAAGATCGAGGAAAACAAACAAAACACAGAAAAATTTTTTGAAGAATTCAGGAAACTACTGCAAGAATAAGCTGATGAAAGAAATGAAATGAAAAATCGGAAACCATACAAAAATAACAATTAGAAAGCCAGAAGATTATTTTTTATTAAGACTTCAGATATAGATAGTACATTGAAAGAGCCAAGATGTAGAATTGAATCATTGGAGCTCGATGAACAATCTCTTAATATTCATCTGCTAGAGGAACAATCAGAAAAGAAGAATAAAAAAATTTAAAGAATGTCTAAGATGTATGTGGGACACTGTCAAGAGGAATAATTTACATGTGATTGGGATTACAGACAGAAAGAGACCAAAAAGAAAAGAATCATAATAGAAAAGTATCTAAGAGTTGTTGAAAGAAAACTTTTCTACAACGTGAAGGATAAGAAGATAGCTATCCAAGAAGTTAAATGAACTCTAAACAGGATAGAACTCAAAGAAAATCACCAAGATATTTTATAACCAAACTTTACAAAACTAAAGGCAAAAAAAGCATCCTGAGAGCAACTTGGGGAAAATGAAAACTTACCTATAAAGGAAAACTAATAGAGTAAACTGTGACTTCTCAGCAGAAACCATGCAGGCATATAGAAAACTCTGAAGTAAAACAAATCCTGCCAACTACAAATCATATACTTAGTCAAATGATCCATCAAATATGATGGAGATTAAGACATGTCCAAATTAAAAAAAAAGGAAAATAATTCACAGATCAACCTTACAAAAAAATACTAACAGGAGTTCTTTGGACAGACAACCAACACCAGCAGACAAAAACTTGAGATGAACACACATGACAATGTCATCCAGAGCTCAAGCTCAATATAGAAGTATCCAAAGTAAAACAAACACCCAAAACTGAATACAGGGAACCAATGATACCAGTTTGCAACAAAAGATCCATAAAGCAAAATGAGGGA